ACGTTTAAAACACAAGAGACGAGGAAATCATCCAACAGGAGGCCTGGATCCTCAGCACAGTCCGCAGGGACGGGAGGGTATGTTATCTTTATCATAAAACAGATTTTGCTTAAAATGTCTAAATTAGTTCCATCATGAAAAATAACTATATCAATATTTCCATGGTTGTTGTTTAAGTTTTTGTTTCTTAATCTTTCATTGGAGGATTGTCATGATGTTCTGGTAACATGGGTGATCTTCTGTGAGTGAAGCTCAAGGGGATTGATCGGTGAGTACAGTATTTGATACTGAAAAGCTGACATCCCTTAATGTGAAGAAAAACAATTAATTAAATGAAAAATCAATTTAAAGAACACAAATCACAGATACATTACTCTGCTTGTAATTGTCTGCTTTGAGTGACTGAAGATGTGGAAACACCATCAGATGTCCAATATCATGCTAACTTCAGTTCAACAGGGTCAGTGTGGTTTCTGAAAGGCCGTTTTAAAGCCTGGAGATTGATAGTTTGATTTTCCCCGTATTGATTGTTTCATAGAATTAAACAGTTGTCAATCAAGGTAACAAACCAAACTCCATTTGCAGCTTACGTTAGAGCAGATAAACATACAGTTTAATCCTTTCCTACACTTTTGCCTTTCTACTCGGGATACCAAGTATAAATTTTTATTAGAGCCCCATGCACGGCGTTTCGGCATATAGAGAAATCCAAAGCTTGACCTGCTGTGCCTAGTCACAGTTTAAAAGCTGTAATTGGGCACCTGCTGTTTGAAGGAGGCATTTGTCGTCAATTCAGTGATTTCTAAAATGAACACAAAGATGCAAATTAGATGAGGTTAAATTAGCTGCTGAGAACCAAACAATGATTATCTGCTGTCAAACTCTCATGAGAAGAAGTGAAATTATCTACTTTAACTTAATATCTTGTGTGAAAACTTTTTTAACTTTTACAGAGAGACGTTCTGGGTTTGTTTCATTCACTTCAGTTTATTTGAAGCTGCATCTAGTGGCCATTAGAGCACAAACTGTAACAATGGTACATTTGTTACTAACATTATAACACCACCCTTAGGCCAACACTTGGATCTTTGTCAAACAACTAAACAATAAAACTTAAGATGCCGTGTGTTCCAGAGGGATAAAACCAGTGGTGGAAAGTAACTTTACTAAAGCATACTTATACGTCGAGTATGCAATTCTGATGAAATAACATATCTTGGTGAACTAGAAAGTAAGCTGAATGTCTGTGGACAAGTCATTCAATGTTACCTGACATACAAATCATGGCTGAAATGGCAGGAATAGTGTTGTTGTTTCAGGTAGAGCAGGTCTAAACTGTACTCTGTAATATTACAGACCTTGGTCACAGTGCAAAGGAAAAACTCACATTTAGCAGGTAGAAACCTTGAGGATTACATTAGCACACGCCACCTTAAAGTACACTTTAGCGGTAATTGTACTTGATTATTTACATTTTCTGCTACTTTATACCTCAACTCCCACATTTCAGAGGGAAATACTTTTTTACTCCGCTAAATTAGTGAAAATCGTTGTTAAATAAAAAATGTAAAATAAGTTGTTAAAATAAATCCCCACCAATACCAGCTGCGACATTAAAATGTACAATCAATTTACACACGAATGCATCAATAATTACCATCTAGTAATATAATATATATTAGTCTGGATTTAAAAATAGACAGAAGGACTAATGGGAGGACAGATGAATTTAATGACCAAACTGTGAAAGTAAAATGTAAAAGGCAGCTTGTTGTTGTTGCAGCAGCAGCAGTATAGTGTCTGAATACTGGTGTTAATAAAATCATAAAATCACATCTGGAAACTACAGCAGAGAAAGCGCAGCCTGAAAACCACACATGGACACAATCAAGACTTTAGAGAAAACTGGAAATGAACCAGATATAATCAGTGTGTGTGTGTTAGACATGTTGATGATCCAACAAGAACTTAGTTTGAAGCAGACTGACATTTTTGCATCCATATGAGTTATATTTTGTTAAGAAATGATCACACAAATAATACTTGTTTTCGAGCAAACAAAAATCTATTTTGTTTATTTCCACGTTAAGAGTACAATGATGACCTATTTCTTGATAAGGGAGCTAGGGAATGTTCTCAGCTAGGACTTTTATTCAGGCCTTCAAGGATCCAGCAAGACCCCAAGATGAGTTGGGCCAGGTGCAAATTTTATTCGGTCTAATCTGTTTTGGTAGAATCCTGTTGTGTTGTTGCAGGTTTCAGGGTTGTGTGTCAATATGTCTAATACAAAAATGAGTCCAAGAGGACTCTCTTTTAGCTCTGATCACACAGTGCGTCATCATCATCGCAGGAGAAAAATGTGCTTTTTGAAGGAGACGAAGACTGTAAACTGTGAAGTGCAGAAGAAATTGCGTGTTCTTCTTCTGTTTTCCACCACTCTGCTCGTTAATTGGTGGAGCATCATGCCAGTGTTCCTGTCCTCTCCCTTTGGGTCAAACCGCAGATTGAATGATGTCTGATTATCCACAATTCAGTGGAATTGTTTTGACTTTCTTTGGGTTTAGTTCAGTCTCTTTTTATAAGGTCTGTTATGATGTATTCAACAAAGACCTTTAGTAAATGCATAGCCATCTCTACACACACACACACACACACACACACACACACACACTTGTCTTGTAGACACATTTGTAACCACACACATGCATAATCTATGAACATGTTTAGAGTCAAATCAGCAGTCTGACTCAGACTTTCTGTGGTTTTAAAGCCCCACACACACACACACACACACACACACACACTCCATGATGTGTGGTGTTGCTGAATAATGACAGTTACTCAGTCTGTTGGATCATTAACTGCTAATTCAAGGCTGGCTTCATATTTTCCATATTACACTGTACAAGCTGGTCTTGATCCAAACACATTCGCACCGACCCATCCAGACCAGCCTGGGACCCCTGAAAAAGACATCCCCACATACCGCTGCCACAAGGAATCCAGCTAACACAAGATTGCTTGCTTGAAAGAAAATAATATAAAATCCTGAGAAAATAATTCCAAGAGGGTCTAAGGACAGAGGGTGTTGTATGCTGTACAGATTATAAAGCCCCCCCGAGGCAAAGTTGTGATATCGGGCTATATAAATAAAATTGACCTGACTAAACAGTCAAGTCTATAGACAAAATAGAAAGCTCTGAAAGCTACTGTGACTGACTAGCTCAGCGTGTGAATGGCTAGCTCACCCAGCGGCAAACGGGATGTTCACACAGTTTATTCAATGGATGTATTTGTACCATTGACTTGTGTCTCATATGAAGTTAAATAAAGTGGTGCAACACTACTAACAAGCTTTGATAGCTTCCTCCAGTTCCCTCAGAGGTCGGCACTGTCGAGACGACTTGCTATAGGTCAACAGCTTGAGTTTATTTCACCGTTTTAAGTGCTGGTCTGACCAGGCCTCAATAGTCGGCCACACTAGTGAGTCTGTGCAGATATTTGCTTGTAAACAAAAGTAATATACAAAATAAAATTTGACCTGATGATGGTGCTGGATGAAAAGTTAAGGGATAACTAAGATTATTACAGTTTATCCTCCAAAGACCATGGATGTCTGAACTACATTCCATGGCAATCCATCCAGCAATTACAGTTGTAGCCTGAACCAAAGTGGTGGACCAACTGACTGAAATTGCTATTCCTACAGCCATGCCAGTAGAGTGGCTAAAAATCACGAGGGGTAGCTTACACTGACAGTTTACCTCCCTGTCTTCATCTGGCTTTCATTAGTTGAGTTTAGCTGCATTGTACTGTTTTCATTGTGTCTGTCTGAGAGAAAACATCAGACTCAATCTCACTTTGTGTCTGGGGGGTCTGGAGTGGCGGCGTTTCCAGAGGTTCTGGGCCTTCTGGTGGTTTGAAGGACAGCCAGAGTGGCTTCACCACACTCTGTTTGTCTTGGATCAGCATCACCAGAAAAACCATCCAGCTGGGAGGATTATGAAACTGGTGCGGGACACACTGCCTGAAGAAATGCTTTCCTAAGCTGAGCCGGACATGAGGAAACCTTTTCATAAATTACAGCCTTCTTAAAATGTTTTGAGGGAAACATTTCAACAATTAATTTGTGACTATAACTCCTTCTTCCACCGTCTTTTCAGCCAGCTCTCCACCGACTGATCCACATCCAAGATTACAGCGATCATAAAGTTCTCGTGCCATTAAAGTCATCAGAAAACATCAGCTCCAGGCCAGCGCCTCCTCAGATGAATGAAAAGTTGAAATGATCGGAGAAGGCTCAGCCCACCGGCGGTTTTCTGCTCTGCTGCTCTGTTTACAATCCTGCAAAGAGATTTTTCATGGCGTCCAATGAGGCAACCTCATTGGCCATAATTCCCAAGAGCCGGGTCACAATGTCTTTCCCCCAACTTTGGAAAAAACAAATTGTGAATTACTTGCATATAAGGGGGCGCCATGAGCAATTACATGGGGAGGCTGTGTGTGTGGGGGGGGGGGGGGGGGGGGGGGGGGGTTACATAAAGAGCTGGAGGGAACAGTTTCAGAAGAATGAAATAGAAGATAATTTTGATGCCACTGAATCCTACTCACTGGTCCTCTAAAAGCATGACAGGAAAACTTGTCTGTATGAAATGTATGAAATCAGAAAGACTATGATTTCTGTCCTGTTGTAGAGCTCACAGCAGGACCTCCTGACTGTGGAAAAAACATCTCTTTAGATTAGCTTTAATGGGAGATAAATTATAAAAAGTAAGGTAGAGGGGAGAGCTTATGCTGATTGCTCTCCACACTGTCTCTGCTGCTTTGGGATTTGAACCGGCATCCTTTTCATTATAGTCCTGCGCCCTCTGAGAACAGGGGAGCCTTTTGTTTTGTGGTATTTGGAGCATTCCCTTCAGTGATCATCACTCAGACCTGCCCGATTGTTTCTGCTCACTGAAGCTCATGATGTGTTTATTTTCTATTCAAACAGGACCACTAATTGCCCCATGAAGAATCAGAGGTCATGGCGTTGATGGAGCTCCGTCTCCTGGCACTGGCCTTGTGGGTTGGCGTTGGAGTAAAAGTCCAAGTTCGAGGTGACCAGATGAAGCCAGCCTGGGGACCTCTGATCCCTCATCGGCCTTTTATTGTAGTGTGGAACGCTCCTACTGAGTCCTGCCGCCTTCGATTCAAGGTGGACCTAGATCTCAGCGTTTTCGACATTGTAGCGAACCTCAACGAAACCCTAAGCGGACCAAATGTCACCATATTCTACCACAGCCACTTGGGATACTACCCGTACTACTCCAACTCCGGGGTCCCTGTCAACGGTGGACTGCCGCAGAACCAGAGCATCTCCAAACACCTGAGCAAGGCCCGGGCCGACATTGACAAGCTAATTCCCCACAAAGATTTTCGAGGCCTGGGTGTCATTGACTGGGAGAACTGGAGGCCTCAGTGGGTCCGAAACTGGGGCTCCAAGGACATCTACCGCAACAAGTCCAAGGAACAGATCCGGAAACTTCACCCAAACTGGCCTGAGAGCAAGGTGGAGAAGGAAGCAAAGGAAAGTTTCGAGAGGGCGGGGCAAGCCTTCATGAACCTGACCTTAGCCCTGGCTGAAGGTCGCAGGCCGGACGGGCTGTGGGGGTTTTACCTTTTCCCAGACTGCTACAACTATGGGTATAAGCAGTACCCACAACGGTACACCGGCGAATGCCCCAACGTCGAACACGTACGCAACGACCATCTAATGTGGCTTTGGAAGGAGACCACGGCCCTCTACCCATCCATCTACCTGGACTACGAGCTCAAGTCCTCCTCCAACACTGTCAAGTTTGTCCACTATCGAGTCAAGGAAGCCATGAGGATCGCGTCCATCGCCCGTACCGGCTTCACATTGCCTGTGTTTGTCTATTCCAGACCTTTCTACGCCTATACCTTTGTGGTTCTTTCAGAGGTAAGTTTTCAGCTTTTAGTTTTTTGATGCCTCCTTAGAGCATCTTAAATAAGCAAGAAAGCGTTCCTCATATGCTTTCACATGAGCTGAGTATATTGTATGAGCATTTGTAGATTATGAAACAGTGGAAGAGATGGATGTGTGTAAACTGGACAGTTTAAGTTGGATTCAAATGTTTAATTTGTGAAAATGTCCTTGTCACTTTGTTTCAGAGTGACCTGATTCACACCATTGGGGAGAGTGCTGCCTTGGGAGTGTCAGGTGTCGTCCTCTGGGGATCATCAGAATATGCTCGATCACAGGTAACCGTAAAATGTATAAAAACAAACATGCACTACAAAGGATTTAAAATAACTTTCAATACTAAATTAAATAAAGAACCCCCCCCCCCCCACACACACACACACACAAAAAGTTATAAATTCACTTAAAATCAGATCAAAGGAACAGCCTTAAACTAAATGCTTATTATGTTATTGTTACGGTGGGTGGGGTGGAGGCAGGTTGGAGGACCCAAACGCAGGACGCAAGGCAGAGGAGGAACAGTTGAATGGGGTTTAATACAAACTAAAGGCGAGCACACTTACAAGCAGAGTGGCTGATCAACAGAGTCCAAAAACAGGTTATCCAAACAGAAATCCAAACCGGTGAAAATCCAAAATCCGACATGAGCAGGGAAACAGGGAGACACGACGAGGAAGACAGGCAACAAGACTTAACACTTGGGAATCCACACACAGAAGGTAACATGAACAATGACCAGACAAGGGCTGAACAGAAAGACCACACATATATACCAGGGATAACGAGCAGGGCGGGTGCAACACAGGTGAAAGACATGAGGCTAACGAGGCTAACGAGGCAGGCAGAGAGAGAGCAGAGGGAAGAACAGAGAGACAGTCAGGCAGAGGGATACTGGAGGGAATAGACATGACACAGGTTACTGAACACATAACAGATCAGAGGAATAAATATAAATGAATCAAGACACAAGCAGACACATCCCCACTGAACTAACACCAACAAGGAACACAGACCAAAGCGAAGAAAAACACTGAACTGGAAACTAAGGCATCAAGAAGACAGACATGAGTGACAGAGAGAGACGGACATGAGTGAACCCCAAAACACAACAGACTATATAACTGATACTGGACACAGGACAGAACCCAAAACACTAAGACATAAACCGAGACACAGAACGAGGAGCTAAGACACAGAATACAGAGCAGACTAAACTAAAATAATGCAGCTGAGGAACAAGAAGTAAATACTAACATATCCGAGGTACAGGACTGGGAACAAAGACAAAGAACTAAAACACAGGACCAAGAGCTAAGATAAAAGACGAGACATAAACTACTAAGGGCAAGGAACGAGAGAAACAGGAAAATAGACATATGAAACAATGGCAAAAACTCAAACTCACAGGTAAAAAACTAGAACTCATAACAGTTATAGCATTATACCTACATTATGGCATATATTACATAAAGAAGCCACAAAGCATTTTAGGGAACAATAAATTTTAATGACATAAATGGCAGATTGTCACCGTGTATAAAGGCTTCGTATTGTCTGACTATGAAAAATATGAACAGACATCATTATTTTTTCCTCCAGAACCTAATGTTTCCAAAAATAGTGATTTTTTTTCAAACTCTGACAGTCAAAAACCAGCATTTGATTTATGTGTGAAAGAGGTTTCTGTTGGTAACTGTGGAATGTTTTACATCCTGTTTACAGCAGACTCAGATGTCAATCTAGGAGAAAAAGACTATGTCATGTAATCCTCACTGAGAAATGACCTGAAATGGTAAAGAAATTAGCTTTATCACTTGAGTTGAACATTTCCAGTCCCGCTCAGTCATCAGATTATTGAAACCTTATACTTATTACTGCGACGTGCTGGAAACTGTCAGCAGTCCTAGCCGTGCAAGCACATGTTTTCCCCACTATTTAGAGATCTTAACATGGTGAGGTGGTGCTCTAGCAAGAGACATATTTCTTTGCCTTTCCGCCTAAAGACACAAAAGCACGAGGACTGGAAGGAACAGAATGTTTGTCTGCTCTAACAATCCGGGGATGTTAGCATGCCTAGCTGTCTTGTTTTCTGTAACCTAGCGTTACTTCTAAACCTATGAGTTAGCAAACCATTAGCTATATTACTGTGTGGGGTTAAAGCAAATGCAAAAAAAACAGTTTATGTTAGATTTCCCTTATGACACTGTAATATGCTACAATGGCTAACTTTACAAGTACAGTGATGTTCCTTTATTTTACATTTTACATGGATCACCAACTGGTGAAGATGTTGACTTTGTACCTGGGGATTTTTAGCTTTAGCCTCAGTCTTTTTTGCATTATTTCACAGCACTTAGCTAGACATTGTGTATGTAGTCACAAGTGCATTTTCAGGGTTATCACTGTCAAACTAGTCAGTTGGAAATTAAAAAGTCAGCTGAAGATTGACTCATGTCCACCGCATGTAGTTAACATTAATTAGCTAGCTACAGCTGATTAAGTATGCCAGCGACAGTTGCAATTCCAGCAGCAAAATCGACAGTCATTAGGTAAAAATGAGAAGCTGCTTTTGTCTGGAATCAAGGGCAAACTGCATACACTCCATGGCAGAATGGAAAGGGTTAGGGCACAGTAACAGCAGCTAAAGGAGACAGGGCTTACAAACAAACAAACGAAATAGGTAAAACCTGTATGTGTCCTAATGTCTCTTTAATGATAATTGGTTTAGCATATTTCAGCTCACCTCTCCAAATGGCGTTGGCCTATGAATCAAATAAAAAGGCCTGGATGGTAAGAAGTAAACAATCTGATGGTATGGTGTGGAAAACATGCCCAGCAGAGATGCAAAGATGATTTTAAGTTACTAGAAAAGTAAGATCTTGTAATTTTACAGACTAATGACAGTGTCTTTTGTCTCCTGCCTCCTCCAGAGGAACTGCCTAACAGTGAAGAAGTACATTGATGGTCCACTGGGACATTATGTCATCAACGTCACCTCTGCTGCCAAGCTGTGCAGCAAAGCACTTTGCAAGAAGAACGGGAGGTGCGTCCGCAAGAGCCTTGACTCAGGTGCTTACCTGCACCTGAATCCACGCTTCTTCCACATCCACCGCAACCCGGCGCCCAGGGGCCCCCGCTTCCACGTCAGTGGTCACCTCAACAACCACGACATCCTGGACATGAAACACAAGTTCACCTGCAACTGCTACCAGGGCTGGACAGGCATTTACTGCGAGATGCCCCAGGCTCCACCTCCTCCTCCTCCTCCTCCCCCACCTCAACCCGCCATCCCTCTGCCTCACCCCAGGGAGAACAGCCTGCTGGGAGATATCTTGCTCCTCTTATCCCTCCATTTCTCCTGTCTCTGTATCATCATGTTCCTGGGACTCTGTCTGATTATAAAGTGTCTGATACTGTAGACACCAAGCTACAACTGAGTGTTAGCCCAACTTGTGATCAGCTGCAGCTCCCCTTATGTCCACTAGATGCTGCTCCAAGAAAACTGTATTGAAATGACTGTGAAAACTTCTAACTTGTCTTTGAGAAGATCAACAAATTCAAGTTCATTCAAGTAGCTGGATGTACACTTGGATTCCACCGGGCACGGCTACATAACTTTACGTCTGCAACCATGTTTTGTTAAGTACACGGCTTCATACCCAACATGGAACGTTTCAGAAATGGAGCATTTTGCCTCCCTAAAGGCCCTTTCAGATTGGAAGCGATTTGCGCTGCGCTGTCAGCTCAAAACCGCGACGTGCGCGAGAACGCCGAGCAGTGCGCTGTGCTGCGCTTGCGCTTTGTTTGACGCAGCAACAAACTGCAGTGGCGCAGCACAAGCCATTGAAAATAATGGGTTTCACAGCGCAGCAGTGCGGTTGTCGCAGTCTGTCTGAAAGGCCCGTATGTTTGTAGACTTGCTTAGATTTAGATGATTTGATCATTTTTCCTTGATTTATGTGCTTTTTTTTGTTAAATGATTTCTTTTTTGTACTCTTCTTAATGTGTTCATTGTTGATACACAGTCGTAAGTCTGCACAGGATGTTTTAATTACATTTGTGTCTTCCCGCCCGGTTGGATCTGCTCTGTTGCATTAGACTAGCCGCATATTCTCCACTTAGCAGAGCGGAGAGACGCTTCAGGGCGGCTTCTGAAACTCACTGCAGCGCAAGTATTTTCTAGAATGGCCGAGATCAGCTCTGGTTGCTGCCCAGTGGAATAGAGCCATAATCTAATGTGTTTTAGTGGAGATTTTGAAAAGGATTGTTTAATTACAGGAATATTTCACAAAAAAACGAAGTTTTGAGTAGCAAATACCCCTTTAGGCTTACAAAGTCACTCTGAAAAGTTTGCTACGTGCTCCAGATTCACAGAGACCACGTTTCACAGCAAATACAGGAATTCAAAAATCCATAGAAACTTCTAACTGCACCAACCATAATCTCTGTCCTTTCCTTTCGGTTTGGCTCATGGTGGCAGCAGGCTGAGCAAGTTAGCCCAGACATCCCTCTCCTCACCCTCCTCTAGCTCCTCATACAGTTATTTCCAAGGCTACAACAACAACAGTATCATTCAACAAAAAACAAAGCGGGCCACTATTAGTCCTGCATGTATAACCTAACAATTACTTCTCCAGTTTCATAGTGCAACTTAAAACACTGATAAGAGTTATTTTTGCCAAATAAGCTTCAACATAACTGTAACTTTTTTTACACAAGGACTTTTACTGCAAGCTCCTTGCTCTCCGTCATTGAGCCCATGGATTTCTAAATACACTGCCTCTGTTGCTAGTGAAAACTGGAAAGACCATATAAATTTATGTTATGCCAAGTCCCTATGGATGTTTGGATACCTTTTATTTTGCTGAGAAAGTGGGTTTCCATGTGAGAACTTTTCAGAGCCTACAGGACGTAAATATACTCAACGTATGTTTTTGGTTGAATGTTCCTATAAAATTATGCTAATTATGATTCTGTGTTTTTCAGCCTAAATAAAAGTCAACTGCAATAATTACCAATCATACATGTTACAACAAAACAGTCTGCAAGTCTGTCATCCGGGATCAACTGCAGCAAAATGTTAGATTTGTTTTTATTATATTTTAAATGCCTTTAGATTGTTGCAGACAGAACTACTGACTACAGTTATTTTTCTCCAGCAGGAGAACAAAATAAACATAAAAACCTCTTAAAACAATCAATAAATCAACAAAGTCAGTCATTTGTTTAATTTGGGATAATGACTGTAATGAAGCTGACATCACATCTACCACTTCATCAGCCTGCTGAGTGAATCTGCATTTTGGTGATGATGGAGCAGTCAGTCAAATGAGTCATCTAAAGCTGCGGCGGGACAGGTCACATGACCCAACAGTTTAACAATAGTCCCTGTTTGTCCCACGGGAAAGGGAGGGACGGCAGAGTGTCGGGCTTTGGGTGATGAGGGGGGGAAGTTAGGAGGAAGCTTCTGTTGCAGCTGGAGGTTCATGATTCACGTCTGTTAAAAGAAGTGTCAAAACAGAGTAAACTGTGGATTACAGAAAGTGTTGAAGTCAGCTGATTATAAATGAAGGTCTTTACTAACTCGACATAAGCTTTGCAGTTTTATTAATCTGCTGCTGCTGCTGCTGCTGCTGCTGGAGGATCAGAGTGCTGCATGATATTTATGCTTTTAACTGCAGATTAAATGACGGAGCTGAAGGCCATGTGATTTATTTTATTTTTGTTCGTTCTAGGTCTCAAGGGAGAGCTTTGAGTTTTGCAGTCTCATTTTCTTAGATGAATTCCCTCAAATTAGCATCTTTAAAGGAATAGTTCAACATTTTGGGATATACACTTTCTTTCTTGAGAGTTAAGTACAGAGTTGAGGTCAGGAAATGGTTTGCTGAGCTTAACATAAAAACTGAAAAGGATCGAACCAGAAACCTTCTGGTCTTAAACCCGCTTCTCCGATTTGTTGAAAAAATAAATAAAGCAGAGACATGATGTACTGATGGAATTAAAACAGTGGAAATATACATTATACTGGTTTGACATTACAGAGTTTAGATATTTCTGTGAACAAAAAAAATCCTCCAGACCCAAACCACAAAATAGTTAGTGTGTCCATGCCTGCCAAAACGACACATACGAGTGTTTCCCGTACCAATCCAGCAACAGGCGACTGGACTTTAACTACGTTACTTATGTCACATGATATTAAACACGTGGTTAACCTTGCGAAACGGTCACAGTTTTGTTAGGTTAAGGAAACAAAACTACTTGGTTAGGTTAAGTAAACATCGTGGTATGGGTTAAAATAAGTACATTATTCACACAACTCATGTTAATCATGTGATGGAAGTCAGTAGCGTAATGCTCTTTAACTCACTCACCATTTACTTGGTTTCACCTGGGACTCGAACGCCGGTCGTATTTTCAGACCATCCATCAAAAAAGTTTCATTAGTTAGTCATGTGACCGAAAAACGTAATTTAACTTACTTTAACACAAACCTAACCAAGTACTTTTGGCGCCTAATCCTAACCCTAACGTTAACCACATGTTTGCTTTTGTTACCATGACAACAAAGGTCCCGTACGCGTTGCTGGTCAAAGACATTTTGGGAGTCATTGGCAAATGACCTACTCTGTCATTAGGTATAAGGAAGTGTTGACTGTGGCTGCATGGCTGAGAATGGATTAGATTATTGCATGTACAGTCCATTATATCAGGGCATCCCGCCAACGGACAACAAAAAACATATTTTGCTCTTTAAACACTCAATAGCTTTGTCCAACTAGGAATACAATTTACTTTAGTACTCCTGCAAGCAACAGGGCTGTCTTTACTTTGCTGTTTTGCAAATCACCTTCTGATGACTTCGAAATAAATATAAGTTGCCTGGCACATAAAACACTGTGACTCTGAATATTTTACAATAGATTTAAAAAAAAATGAGACTTTGTCCAGTAAAAATACAATTAAGCAGCTTTTAGTGGTTTACAGCTCATCGGAGGACGGCCGCTCTGACCGGACTGAGGAACCACCAAACACTCCGCCCAGAGTGGAAACTGTCAGGTCCACTCTGGAGGAACATTCCTTCACTCCTGAATTTGTTGTTTTTGAAAGAAATGACAAAGAAAGACACACAGTACTCCCTCTCTCCCTCCCACATCTTGTGCCTTCAGGGTTTAGATGTATGAGTCATTAGTTTGAGTTCAAGCACATGTGAATTAAACACATTTTACATGCTGTGTTTCCGAGGTTACTTTACCGTCGTATAGTAATACAGTTCACAAAGCCATCTGACTGTTTTTGATGTTGGTGATGATCCTGTTGCAGCGCAATATTTGTCCGCTTGGATGATCAGCTGAGATCCTTGGTTGGATGTCAGCCTGTAGTCTGCTGATGTGCCGAGTGATCACATATCAGCTGAGGGCGTACGTATAGATATTTTGTGTGTATGAGAAAGTGTTGGAAAACAGCTGTACTAACATCTACTACAGACATTTATTGGCTCCAGATGATGTATTGTAATGACTGGTGATCCCCTGGCCTTTCTCTAGAGCCACTATGAGGTTGATAATTTTGGTTTTGAGCAAGCGGGAAGCTTCCGGTCTGAGACGTGAATCCAATGTGGAAGTCCCGTAAACCTACATTCTATTGAACAGCCAGCAGGGGGCGACTCTTCTGGTTGCAAAAAGAAGTCCATTAGAAATAATGGTAAAATGACCCGACTTCTCAGCTGATTTATTACCTCAGCAAACACTTTCATAAAGAGTTTATGGTCTCAGTCGCTAGTTTCATGTCTTCATCGATACAACATGATGTTCATTTAGTAGATTATGGGCCCATTTAGAGGGAAACAGACCATAAAGCTGTGTATGCTTCAGGGTGGGATTATCTGTGATTGACAAGTCGTTACCACGGCAACCCGTCAATGAGGTTAGAATGACTCGTACCCACGGTACTATGTAAATTTAACCATCACCAGTGAAAAAGCTCATCATAAGTTGGCTGTTCACTTTCTCTGGTGAGCACATTTAGTTTCAAGACTGTTGTTCGCTAGACAAAGTTGTCAGCCCTGTTAAAATGACAGTTTCCGCGAGTTAGAGATGCTCCTAGATAAGCAAGCTAACTAGTTCCACACACGGCTGTTAGCTCCACCGGTTCGTCCAAATATGGTCACTTCCGTGCACTTCCTGGTTACAGAAAATCAACATGGCGGCGTCCTATCGGCCAAACTCGAGGCTTCAAAACGGCAGTCCGCAAACCAACAGGTGACGTCACGATGACTACGTCCACTACTTATACACAGTCTATGGTTTTGAGTTAAATGTCTTGACAGGATGGATTTGGTGAAATTTGCTACAGAGATTCATGTTCCCATCAGGATGAACTGTAATAACTTTATGGAGTAAGCAAATCCCCCAAAACAGGGAATGTGTGGATAATCAGGGGTGGGAGGAAAGGAGCTGAAATGACAGGAATAGTTAGTGTACCAAAGTAAAAAAGGAAGATTAACGGGATGTTACAGTCAGAGGATCACCAAAGTCATTAGGATCCATCCTCTGTAGACAATGAATGTCTGAACCAGATTTCACGGCCTTCAAATCTCTTCATGAGTAAATGTGACTTTGGCAGAACTGAAGCTGACTCGGCTGAATACTTCTGACAGCGCGACGCCGCCTGTCTTATTATCGGATTACGATGACTGACAGCCGAGGAAGTAAACAGCCTCAGCATCTGCACAGTCCTTTCAGTTTCGTGTTAGGGTCTTTTTCTTCTTCATCTCCCAAACATAAACCTGAGAATGTGAGAACAGAGAAAATAATGCTATCATTGAAAGTCAGATCAGAAAATAGTATGACTTTTTAAAGACAACTTTTGCACAGTTTGTTTTCTTTAAACTGTTTGTACATGACCACATTTAAAGAGTCCACTTTCTAAAACACTGCATCCTATTTATTTCATAAAATAAACTCTTGAGGTTCATCGTTCAGTATGTCTTAAATACAGTATACAGAAACCAAACACCTGTAATTTTACAACCCACAGACATCAGTTAGCTCCTGTACTTAACTAACTAATAACCATAATCAGCTTAAGTCCAGTGTCAGCAGTCACTCTGGGTTTTCAGCTCATCTATAGTGAGGCTGGCAGACTGAAAAATCTCAGTGTAAGAAATCCAGTTTCAGCAAGTTTAAAAGGACCCTTACGCTGTTTTTACATATTATAGTCATATTACATTTATTCAACTGATGCTTTTATCCAAAGTGATTTACAATTGCTATTTATGTCAGAGGTCACACGCCTCTGGTTAAGTGTTTTGCTCAGGGACACATTGGTGTCTCACAGTGGATCTGAACCCTAGTCTCTCACACCACGCAAGGTATTATCCACTGTTCCATTACCCAATATAAAGTCAAAAAGTGGCATTATTCTATGTTTTACTGTGTGTTCACATACAACGCAAATTTAATCGTCGCAATGCTTTCCTCGCGGGGGTTTTATCACTGGACAACTGCCAAGTGTTCAACCCGGGATTAATACAGCTGTATGAACCCAAACTAAACATTTTGCCGTGATTTAATTGCAATAAACGGATCAAACTGATGCCGAAATAACTACAATGTTATGCAGATTTGTTAAACATATGAATTCATGCTTTGTCAGGTCTGTCAGCAAGTTGGTAAGTTGTTCTTACGACTTCAGTGTGTGTTTATGTGCTCTTAAGTCGGAATGTGGAATCAACATAGACTACAAAGATGTGTTGGATTAACATTATCAGAGCATATAAACTCTACATGGACAGCAAACTAACCATTATAACCATATTACACATTACATGTTTGCAAAATATGTATATGCAATCCGTGATTCTGCATGAATCAAAGCCTGTATACTTTTTTATGTCCCATGTACACTTTATTTTTCTTTTTGCAATAAAGATTAAATGAGGGAAAAAGATTCTGATTATTCTAACACCACATGAAAGCACCGCTCCCCCCTCCCTACCAAGTTCTCAGGAGAAGCTTTGGTGGCCGACACACTCTGTCGGCTCTTGTGCTAAAGAATACGTGTGGTCCTCCATTTGTCCAAATTTCCCTTCTCTTCTTCTTACTTCTAATAAACC